TCCACTTCCTCGAGGGCACCAGCGGAGTTTTGAAAAACCGTGAAGTTTGATATGTCGCACGATGAGTTTTGGTTCTTGTTGAGAATTGACCACTTCCCCGGGGGCACCAAAACTTTTCCGGGATGGTCAATCGGCTTAGCCACTATTGGTCAAATTACATCATTTGAATGAGAAAAAAAATATGTTTACTGTGTGCATAATTATTACAGAACAGTAAAGTAGCAATAAAATATTCAATGCTTTCCAAACTATTCTGGAGATAAATTTTGAAGATCTACAGGCTCAATGAAGACAGAAACCCATCTCAAATCCGGTGACAGCTTTTAGTTGCCTGATCACCACATTATCCGGCTGATCCAGAAAGGGGGGGGTTTGGGTGTTGCGATCATCATCAAGAAAGGAATCAAGTTTTGCACGCTGACCCATATCCGCACTTCTATCATCGAGGCCCTTAGTGTGGAGGTGCCATCACCAACTGGAAACGTCCTGTTCATCGCCGTATACTGCCCTCGGCTTCTGTTCGCTCTGCTTCATAATGCATAAAAGATACGGATTTGACTTGTTATCAAAAGTTATAGCTAATAAAAAAAACCGATAAAAGTTCTGCACATCATTTTGCGGAATGCGGAATGAATGTAGATTAATGCACGAAATGAATGCAAATGATTTTCCATGCCTGGCTGCCAGCAATGGATTAGGCATCCAAATCAAAAATGACCTGACTACAATCACTCGCACGAGCTCACGATTCGTCATTGGGGGCGATTTAAATGCCCACCACGAAGCATGGTGGAACTATCAGCGGAATCAGAACGGACTATCATTTTCCTGCACAGGCAATCGCCCAAACTGCTACCGGCACCTTCTTGCACTGTAGTCATGGACGGCACAAGGGCTGAGTGGTCTGCTGAAGTTACGTACCTTCAAATGGTATTCCATGAGAAGCTCCAGCTCTGCCCGCTATAGACAAGACGTTAGTCAAGCTTGGTTAGGTGTTTGTATCCGCTGATTTCTCGCAGATCTCGCCTCCCTAGGGTTAGCAAACTGGCTATCTACAATCAAATCAAAGCAACTGCAATTTTCTACGCTGCACCGGTTTAGGAATCAAGTGCTCAAACTCACAGGAACAAAGTTCAGGTGGCACAAAACAGAGTGTTTAGGATGATCCTCGATCATCTTTTCGACACTAGAAAACAAATTTACACGAAGAGACAGGCATTTCCAAAAAAAGATTCCGAAATTAAGACTAAATTTGCACAAAAATGTAATAGGGGAAATGTATGTAATGTCAGTTTAAATACCCCTAATTTGGGCCCATACATAAATTCAGCAATCGACTAAATCGACAGTGAGCATGCATAAGGGCGAATACGCGATGATCGATTCTCTTCATCGATTTTCTCTTTGCATTGCTACAGCTAAGCGAAACAATTTTCTAGGTTTTGTTCAATGCAGAGTAGTAACAGGTTGTATTGGCTATCAAAAGCAACACCAAATGCACCGAGAAACGTTAAATCTAGCGAGTTATTAACAAAAGAGAAAATCGACGAAGAGAATCGATCATCGCGTATAGGCCCTTATTCATGCTCACTGTCGAAATTTTCAATAGCGACCAATAATATCCATTTGTACTGTCTCAATGACGCGTTTATCTAGATAAAACTGATAAATAACAGATTTTTAGCTATGGGCCCAATCTTAGATCCATAGGCCAAACATTAGAGCCATTTCCCCTATATCAGAACATACTTTGATAAGCAATTTGTAGTTGTAAATAGTACCGTTCCGATTCAAATTTCGGGCGATTCAAATTTCGGACACTTTCATTTTTAATTAAATATTACATCCAGTTAGAAACAAAGTAATAATGTTAGATGATCGTGGAGGGCACTAGTCAAAAAAATTTAAAATTTACATGACATGTGGATCATATTCGACCGAGATAATCAACTTTTAAAAGTGTCCGAAATTCGAGTTTAAGTGTCCGAAATTTGAATCGGCACGGTAGTTATAAGTAGTCTCCCTTTTCCAATTTAAAACAAACCAATCCCACCAAGGTGGTCATTCTTCAATGCAGGCCTGATAGGACTAGGAACTTTAAATAAAAATTAAAAATTTCAAATGAACTCAAGTTGAAAGGACGCATCTGTGTCACTTGATAATTCAAACATGTAAGACCACACAAATGCAAAAAATTAAGATCATTTAATGTCAAAAAAATTAGAATCGATTCCATGCCATTAAGGCAAGAATAACAACTGTATCAAAACCGAATACTTTATCATTTGGAAACATGCACTAAACGACATGCACTAAACTACTTTTTCATCTTCCTTCTTCAAATAAGTAGAAGGGTCTGTGCCTAGAGGCACGAACGGAAGCTTGACGTAGAACCGCTAGTAGACGGGACAAATGTGAAGAGCATTTAGTTCCTTTAATTGATCGATCATCTGTTATCTTAACTCTTTCCGTTTTTGAATTGTAGGTGTACCAAATAAGTTGATTTTTTTTTTTTTTTTTTGAAAGAAAACTGATGAACAGAGTCGATTAAAATCACTTGCACCCCTGCTTTCAAGTTTGATTACAAGATTCTAACTCTGGAGAGCATTTTGTGTGGTCGTTGAGGGCGTGTGGTTCTGAATATGGACAAACAGACACATACATTCTATTCCTACTCTTCCCTGTGATAAGCTTGGTGGCCCTGAAAAGAGCCGTTTTGTTGCCAAAGTTGGTGATGATTTAACCTCCAAAACCGTACAGAGTGCGTCTCTGTTGCTTCAAAGCGTATTTGACATCCATGGCCACTTACGCTTGGCGTGTTTTGTGTAAGTGACAGCATCACGGACAGGCATGGAAAATTATTTGCATTCATTTCGTGCATTCATTTACATTCATTTGCCTCTAACTTTTTTCTTCAACATCATTCTGCAAAATGATGTATAGAGCTTTTGTAGGTTTTATTATTAGCTACAACTTTTGTCAGCAAGTCAAATCCGTTTCTCTTATGCAGGACGGATCAGAGTGAACAGAAGCCACTACTGTTTTTCAGTGAATGTATTTAACATTCACTGAAAAACAGTAACAAGTTCTGCCCGCTCTAGTTCGTGATGCATTAAAGATACTGATTTGAGTTATGAACAAAAGTTGTAGTTAATAACAAAACCTACAAAAGCTCTATACATTATTTTGCGGATTGCTGTTGATAAAAAAAGTTAGAGGCAAATGAATGTAAATGAATGTATGAAATGAATGCAAATGATTTTCCATGCCTGATCACGGATCTCATGTTCCAGGAACACCTCGTAGATCAGACCGGAGATAAGTTTGACACCGCCACAACGAACCAGACGACGGATGGCGTTTATCACGAAGAACCTTGTTTCGATGACGCTTGACGCCTTCTTTGCCAAGACCTTTTCCTCCTTTGCCACGACCAGTCATTGTTGATTGTTAGGTAGAAGAGTGGACTACATAACCTATAACCACCTTCCTACTGCTGCTACTGCTGCTTCTGCTGCCTGCTCACCACGCCGTCCGAAGCGAAACTGAGTTGAGACAGTAGTGCTCTTATATCTCTTTTCAGGATAAAGCAGAATGATGTGCAACCAAGTGGTACTCGATTATGACAGCTGGATTTGGGAAGAACGTTTATTTCATGAAAACAGTGATACAATTATCACTTTTTTTTTGTACATTGGACAATGCTTGACATTACCACTTTTTCAATAGTTGCTTGCTAAAAAGCATCAATCGGAAGCATTGTTATTGATGCGTAGGAATATTTCTGATTGATTGGCGATTAAATTATTGAAATTTATCCAGGGGCAGCTGAGTTATTAATGTTCAAAATCTTTCATAATTTTGTTACATGTTCAATTTTTTTTTTTTTTTTTTTTTTTTTTTTTTCCTTTGTTCGGGACATAACACTACTGCGACCAGTGATTTGATCTATTGTAGTATAGCCCGTGTCCTTAGTTTAGTGCATGTCGTATTACTCCATCACTATTGAGAAATGATGAAGTATTCGGTGTTGATACAGTTGTCATTCTTGCCTTCATCGCAAGGAATCGATTCTAAATGAAAGGTCCCGCTATTTATACCCTTCGGAGTGTTGAAATACCCTCCAAAGGCGCGCCCCTTTGTCAGTCGAAATGGGATTCCTTAGCAATAAAAATAAGCAATGACACCGATAATGACCATGCATCAGAACCCTAGTCTTAACCACTTCAAACTAGGGAACAATGAATAGAAGATTAGGAATCACATAGATGAAGACTAACTAACTCATTTTTTCCTTGTTTCAAGATCATCCTCGGTACAGGCAACCCGAGGACTTATCACTATCAACAAGGCATAAAAAGTAACAAGGACTAAGATGTGTTCCTTTGATTACTGAAAAATCCTGTACCCCTAGTTTGAAGTAGTCACGACTAAGATTCGGTGGTAGATCTTACATACCGTAACGTACCACGAAAAGGTGATCTACCCACGTTACGGGGCAACCATTTACGGTTTTCACAAAGTGTACCCCCATATATAAATCACAGACGTAGTCCAGAATCTTGAAAATCTTCCCAAGTGGATAATCTCTAAATTATGAATAAGTATGGTTTTCTTAGAATGAGGTCTTGAAAATTATTGATGTAGGGGTAAGAGGGGCATAGTGAACAGGTGGGGCATAGTGAGCATCCCATGCCTCAGCTTGGTCTTCCGGCCGTTCGGAACAAATTGGTTGGTGTTAGGATCAATATCATAATGATATTAAACCTACTACCAGTTGATTTATTTCATGCAGCTGGAGATCCAGAGCCAAAGTGCGGAATGCTCACTATGCCCCACCTATTCACTATGCCCCTATGAAAGTTAATCGCAAATATATCAACATAAGATTAATGCAACTTACCTTTGTTCCAGCATCCATACAGCAAACATAGTAAAAATGTGGTCAACATTCAACTTGATTTCTCTCTAAATAAACGTTACCCGACAAAGCATGGAGATTTCAGCATTTATTTCTTATTCGTTTCACAGCATTATTTTACAGGGTAGAAATCGATATTCCTACTTAAAAATAACATCTTGACCGGCTACTGTTCAAAACATTCTTCTATTTGTTGGGTTTGGACGCAGACATTTCGTACACTGTTCTTCAAATTCACATGCATCACTACCATTAAATCAAGAAAACTTCACATCAAGAGAGGAAACATTTTCCTGTTTTAGTTTTATTTATTCTATTGAGTTTTGTTTCCATTACGTTCTACATTTTGGCTACGGTTTCGACAATACTCTTTAGTAATAGAAAATAGGAAGTTCAGTAACAGCTGCGCACTGTATATTTATGGTAACTACAAATACATGGGATAAGTTTTCCGGGGACGCTTTTGGCTGGAACTCTATTTGCGTTTTTGATTGTTTAAAATCCAGTAATTCGTTACATAAACTTGTTTTTACATAGGTTTACATATCATCGTGCATCGAATGTTTGACAAATAGAGAAGCGCTACAATCTGTTATCCATTCTAAACTGTATACGGAGCTTCATTTAACTACTGTTGCATCTTAGTACGGAATAACATGTAGTGTTCAGTGTACATCAACCCTGGGATCAAATGCCATTCTGCGAGATTAAATCCGCTATTTACAGTGTGAGAAATTAAATAAGCGTTTCGGAAAATTAAATCTGTACAACTTAACTAGAAAACAGTCAACATATTCTTTGGTGATAACAATCAGCAACCATTGAAGCGAATTACTTATATTGCACTTAAGCCCTACGGTTGAAGCTTTCCTCAGTATGGCCTCCAGACGGAGTTCCCGTTTTCGGATTGAACTTGCCCTTGCGGTGGAACACCACGGGCACCAGCCAGAGCTCTTGCTCCAGATTCGTCCAGAGCCCCTCGAGCCATTGCCCCACAGTTCCCTATCAGGGAAAGATCCGTGTGAGGATTGTTGCTCATTAGATTCGGATGCTGTCGACCGCCATTGGCCGTAGTTGAGGTCAAATGATCCATAACACTTTGCAGTTCTCCGGCATGCATCGAAGTATTCTGGGCAGCCGTATGGGTGTTTTGCAAGGGGTGGTTATGGAATCCATGGGTTTGATTGGCTGCTGTGTAGAGTTGCGAATAAAGTAAGCTTGCTGGAAGAACCGGGTAAATCGATCCGTTACAACTTCCCCCACTGGAACCATAATTAGATTGACTTTGGTTTACGACCAAGCTGGAGAAGTTCTGGTTTGCGGCGCCTCCCAAGTTTGGGGTATTTGATGAAAGGAGATCTTCCTGAACTGGAGACTCTGCCTGCGATGAATCACTCAAACTACGTGGTCCACTTTGGCTCGTGTGAAGAGCGTAGTCATTGTTGCTGGAATTGCTTTGGTAGCGAGGAACTAAAAGTCCATTGGAGCCGTTGGTTGTGGTGATGGTGTTTGCTTGAGCGGTCACTCCGTTTCCGTTGGAGCCATTTCCAGCGGGATTACTACTTCCGTTGGTAGTCATCAGGCTGGGATGGGTCATTTGGGCGGTTTGTTGAGTTCCTACTAGGCTGCTCAGGTGCTGATCCAAATCGGCTGCCGTTGAATCCGGAAGCACTGGTTTGGAAGGTGGTTATCTTAATGCAGTTGAAGGAAATAATCAGTGGAAATTATTACTTACTTGGAACGCAGTCTCTTCCAGTGCTGGTGAAATCCTGACCAGCGTTCTGTTCACCGCTGGAGCAGGTAAAACCTAGAGCAGGATTGTTGAACTGAGCTGCCGTTGGTGTGGTGCAGGACGTCAGATATGGTGAGTACGGACCGCTTGTACTGTAGCTCCAGTGGGAGTTGGCTGTACCCAGACCGAATTGGGACATATCTGAAATACGAACAGTGGAGACATAAATTAATCATCATGATGATCGTTTTGTGTACCAAGAAAGTATTTAGAAAAATTGAAAGTAGTTTTTCCGTTCACAATCAAATTTATGGTTATCGATATGTATTCAGTGTAATTCACTTGCCCAGTGGAGTATGGAACGCAATGAACACATTTTAATAAACGTGCATTAGCATTAGCATTAGCATCGAACAAGTTGCACAATATCGTAGGTGGTACGAATTCAAAACTATTAAGAGCAAGACGGATATCTATTACTGGACACATAGTAAGTAGGAAATAATTACTATCTCCAACAGTTAAGGATTGTCCTGGCCACGTCCTTACAACTGGTAGGGATAGGAAAGGTATGTTAGTCCAACATTTACTTAAGAACACATTTTAATAAACGTGCACAGCAAAAATTTAATTTTGATATCACAACAAAGTAGATGCACTTCAGTCGTGTCAAAAATATGGTGCAATAGTACTTGCCAAAAAGGAAAAAAATATCATTAATTATGACATTACGCTGCTATGGCCATAAAAATTACATGAGATTTTCGACATAATTAAAGTACATCCTCTTGGATGCAATATTAAAATAAATTTTTTGCTGTGTAGATTTGATTTTCTGATTCATAAT